TTGATAAGCCATATTATGAGCTATAATAGTGTCCCTCTTCTTTTTTGGGGGGGGGCAGAGTCTCCCTCTGTTGCCCAGGCTGGAGTGCAGTGGCATGATGTTGGCTCATTGCAGCGTCCACCTCCCAGGTTCAAGAGATTCTTCTGCCTCAGCCTCCCGAGTACCTGGGACTACAGGCGCCCGCCACCAAACCAGGCTCATTTTTGTATTTTTAGTAGAGGTGGCCAGGCTGGTCTCGAACTCCTGACCTCAAATGATCCACCCGCCTCAGCCTCCCAAAGTGCTGGGATTACAGGCGTGAGCCAAGGCGCCCGGCCAATTGTGTTCCTCTTAAAAGCCCCGGTACTCCCTGGACCGCATTGTGAAACCAAATATGGAATAAGAATTGTTGATGACGTTTCACATTTCCTTTTTTTTCCTACTTTTTTAATGACAAAGACTATGAATGCGAATGTTTTTTCTTTTGAAGGCCAAGCTGGAGGCAGCGAAGCAGGCCACTGAATGTTTGTGAGCAGCGGCATGATATGGCGAGATCTGAGCTGAAAGTTCCTCTCACAGCAGGACCTAGGATGGATTCAAGTGATTTTCAGTGTACGAGAACAGAGGTAAAACCCTAACACTTTCTCCCACTTGAATAGAATAAATACTTGTGTATATGTCTCATCCCCCCATCCGAGTTTCTTCCCAACTAAGGGCAGAAAGCTTATTGTGTTCATTTGTTGAACCACAATGACACAAAGCGGGAGTGGATTAAAAAGTGGAGGACAGGAGCAAGGCACAGTAGCCTGTGCAGGTGGCTGAGGCAGGAAGATTACTTGGGCCCAGTTCTAGGCACCTTGGGCAACATAGCAAGACCCCATTTCTAAAAAGAATAATAACAAAGTAAAAAATAAAAACTAGGAGGAGGACTGGAAATAACCCAACTGTCCATCACCAGGTAAATGGATTAACAATTGTAGTGTAGGCCGGGCGTGGTGGCTCACGCCTGTAATCCAAGTACTTTGTAGGCCCAGGTGGGTGGATCACCTGAGGTCGGGAGTTCAAGATCAGCCTGACCAACATGGTGAAACCCCGTCTTAAAATAAAAAAAAAAAAAAAATTGTAGTATAGCCATACAATGGAATACTACTCAGCAAAAGAAAAAAAACTGACAAATGCAATAATACTAATGAATATCACTGTAATTACACTGAGTAAAACAAACCAGATACAAAGAATACACCCTGCTTGATTCCATATGTATCAAACTCTAGAAAATGCAAACTATAATAACAAAGCAAATCAGTGGTTACCTGAGGACAGGGATAGGGACAAAAGAGGACACTGGTGAAGGGGGCAGGATAAAAGGATTATTAAAGGGACACTAAGAAACTCCGGCGGTTGAGGGTGATAGAGTATGTTCATTACTTTTATTGTGGTAATGTTTTCACAGGTATGTTCATATGTTAAAACTTAGCAAATTGTACTTTAAATATGTGCAGTTTATTGTATGCCAATTATGCCTCAGTAAAGTTTAAAAAAAAAAATGAAAGTGGGATATGGCAGAGAAATGAATAGGGAGATGGAATTTTGGCTGGAGCCTGGAAGATTTGACCCTGGCTTGAAGAAAGTTCTGTCCAAGCCAGAAGTAAAGGCAATTCAGTTCGGGCCTGGGAACAAGCAAACAGGTTTAGGGGAAAGTGAACAGACCATTTTAACTGGAGCAGAAAAACTGTATAGTGGGGCAGTAGGACATAGAGCTTTTTCCTTCTTTTAGAAGGAAAAGGCACATTATGGGAGGACTTCAATATCAGGCTTTTAGAACACATGCATTAGATTGCAGTTCTACCACCTGCTGAGTGATCTCAGACATGTCACTTAACCTTTCTGAGATTCGGTTTCCTCATCTGTAAAATAAGGATGATAAGAGTTTTGCTCTTGTCACTTAGGCTGGAGTGCAATGGCACGATCTCAGCTCACTGTAACCTCCTCCTTCCGGATTCAAGTGATTCTCCTGCCTCAGCCTCCCGAGTAGCTGGGATTACAGGCACCTGCTACCATGCCCAGCTAATTTTTGTATTTTTAGTAGAGGCCGAGTTTCACCATGTTGGCCAGGCTGGTCTTGAACACCTGACCTCAGGTGATCCACCTGCCTCAGCCTCCCAAAGTGCTGGGATTACAGGCATAAACCACCATGCCCAACCAAAAGAACCTATCTTTTTTTTTTTTTGAAAGGGAGTCTCTGTTGCCAGGCTGGAGTGCAGTGGCTCCATCTCAGCTCACTGAAGCCTCCGCCTCCCAGGTTCAAGCAGTTATTCTGCCTCAGCCTCCCAAGTAGCTGAGACTACAGGCACGTGCCACCACACCTGGCTAATTTGTGTATTTTTAGTAGAGACAGGGTTTCACTGTGTTAACCAAGATGGTCTCAATCTCCTAAACTCGTGATCCACCCGCCTTGGCCTCCCAAAGTGCTGGGATTACAGGCGTGAGCCACCACACCCAGGCAACAGAACCTATCTTAAAAAGTGGTGGATCACGAGGTCAAGAGATCGAGACCATTCTGGTCAACATGGTGAAACCCCGTCTCTACTAAAAATACAAAAATTAGCTGGGCATGGCGGCGCACGCCTGTAATCCCAGCTACTCAGGAGGCTGAGGCAGGAGAATTGCTTGAACTCAGGAGATGGAGGTTGCGGTGAGCCGAGATCGCGCCATTGCACTCCAGCC